CAGGTTATTGTACTGCTTAACATTTGGTAGTTTTGTGCTTAATTCGAAATAAAACTATGCCATTCACCAATGACGCATTGTAGTATTAATGGACAGGGAGGAAAAGTTAGTAAGTCTTTTCGTAAGTGATCAATACGTGATTACCAAGAAATGTCTACTTTAATTTAGCTAGTAAAAAACTTTTTCTACAAAACCTACCTGAATTAGGTCGGTGATTAAAGATAGCTTGAATTCCCAGTCGAGGTTAATTGATTCACTGGATAATACGGACTAAAATTGATAAACAAGCATCGATCACATTCAGGACTCAACTTTGGGGAAGCTGACAACTTAATGAAAGCGTTGATACCCTCAGGCTGCCTCGGCTGCATTCCTCGTAGACGAAACTAAAGGAATCAGCATCAACGTAGCAACCAATAAAGAGGTTGATGTTTTCGTGGCGAAGTTCTCGCAGAGTCCGCAAATGTTCGACCATTTTTGCCTTCAAATTGATTGATGGCAAGCCCAACTGCTTTATGTGCAACCATGTTCCCTATAAATGGACAATGGTAGTTGATAAGTTGCAGTATTATAAGTGTCTGGAGGCGAACTTTTATTCTGCAAAGACGAGGGGGTCAAGGCTTTGCTCTGATACCATCAACGTGGAACAAGAAAAAAGGACTTAAAACAGGTCAGAGCTTACATTAAAAATTGCAACTTTTTTAGAATTTTGACAGAGTCCAATGTCCGAGGGAGGAAAGGCCTCTTCTCTCCCATCTGTCTCGCTGTCAGTGGACACATCTGTATTTTGACTGCTTGGTGAATTCGAAGGAAACAACTGACTAACAAAGGGCTAAAACGAAGAAAACAGAAAGCACAAAGTTCCCTGCTATTGCTTAATTAGCATTTATTGATGAGAGATTTTTACCGTTGTAAAAATTCAACTTTGTGCTTGAACCATCAAAGGTGAACAAGTCATCACCGACTTGAAATGGAGTCGACAAAGTCAAAAGTGACTTTATTTTGCTATTTTCAGGTTAACCAGCTTCAAATTTGTAGCATTCGTTCCTTGAAGAACTCATTGTATAAGTTGATGGCACTTAGAAGTGGGCTGAAGTGCTTGGGAAGACACTTTATCACGAGAAGCAAGAAATCACTTCCCTAAATTCTTACTTAATTTGTGGCATTCAGGTAGAAGCGAGTGGGTAAGACGACGAAGGGCCTGCACCCACATTGCCAATGATGTGACTCATGTACGAAGCAATGACAAGAGGCCTCAGTTCATCAATTTATTCCTCCCTTTTTGAATATCCTAGAGAAGCCAATCACGCCACAGCCGCTCCTTGTTCAAGGTGACTGAACCACAATGGTAATGAAAAGTCATTTTAAAGCCTCGAATTTACAGGACCAAAGCTGACTGACACCAAAATTCGTCGACTCTTTGCTCCTCTCGTAAACGCAAAGTAGAAAGTAAGGATGCACATTTAAAACCGACCTCAGTATGCGAGTTTCGAGAGGTATTTTGAGATGGTCCAATGAAAGTAACATCGTCGGGATAGAGTACAAGTTTATTTGAGCCCATCCGCAATTTCACTGAGCGGTAGTGGCGTCTATTAATGACAAAAAGTAAACAACAATAAAGGTCAAGGTTTGTTTTTTATCAAATCGAAGTCGTTGCGTTGTCGTAAATTGTCATTTCGCCTGATAAGCCAGCGTAGGTGAGCTGGCGGGGAACAGCACCCACACTAGCATTTACGCTGCTGGCCTGATTAGTTGGGTTGTTTATGCAAGTACGGCAATTCCGCATTTCAACAGGAAGTGGTCACATAAGAGATATCATAACAAAACGTGTCGACCATTGTGAAGTTGTAAGACCTTAGGTGAAGCCTGGCTTTTGCTTTTGCAGACCGTATAAAATTGACGAGCTTGGCCAAAATCTGGCACAGCTTGACAAGGCCGTGGCAGGTCATCGAGGTAGGGCAGATCGCCTTTAGTCTGTGCTGTAGACTTGTCAATGCGTGTCTCAGGGCCCTGACGTCCCACATCCTCCACACTCATTATTTCGCATGATCTCAACCCACGTGCACTCCAACTTAAAGCCTTCAACATGAGCTGACTTGCTCTACAAACTGGGATCCAATGGCCATCCCATCTTTCTCACCAAATGCGTTCAAAGGCATTGTCGTGAAAAAATTTCTTCCGCCCGCTCATGGCATTCAAAAACTGCACATGAAGCCAAAAAGAGAAAAGGAAAACAGCTCGATTTGCCTTCGAAAGGGTATTCAAGTAAATAACAACTGGAAGATAAAATTTGTGTTACTCTCTTGGTCGTTTCTACAGGTATGGCGGCTTCACTTACCTGAAAAATAGAGAGACCACTGTTGTAATCATGCAGGCTGTTCCTGTCATCAGGAGTAGGAGAATCATCCGGTTGACAACCGTCCCTGAGAGCAAAGAAGGGCGATTTAAGTTTAGCTGCAACCAGATATCAACACAAAGGCATTCTCAACTAAAGTCCTCCATAGCCAAAGGACTTGACTGTCTGACAACGGGGATTCAAGCTGCCTCAGTCCGTTTGAAGGTACTTTGCTTTTGTGTATCAGCCAAGCTCATTGTTGGTTCATGCCATACAAATCACTGCTTGTCAGGTCTATTTGGATGGCACTCTCTCTTTCCATTTCAATAAAAATGGCGCACCTCCAAGGCAATCTGATTGAAGGCAAATGTCCACGTTAGGACCTTTGCCATCGTGTGGCCACTTTTTGGCTTGTACCTCGTAGACCATGGACCCGGGAGCTGGCATGACACAGACGAGGTCAAAAATTTCATAGAATTGTGCTGTGTCAATCTTGAATGACTTGTCGTAGACATGCTGCGTGTTGATCTATTGAAGAAAATAAAAGCAAGAGTGGATCATTCTGTCATTCAAAGGAGGCTCCTATTTTGATTCGCTCATCAAGAGTTGGTAAAGATGTGGCGAGGTTTTCGAGCTCAAAGGAAGTGCGTTGGGGAGGATGGGCGAATTGGATTTGCTTAAGCCATTGCTGCACTTTATCTTTCATACTCCTTTTTACCACAGAATTCTAAGGGTTCACGATTTACCTTTGCTGGCGGGGGATCGGACATCCCCGATAGGAAGCCAAAAGGCAGGCAAGTGCTACATCATTTCATGTTACTGTCCTCCAAAACGCTTCTATGGATAGGCAAGTGAGCCTCGTTGACGATCCTGTTTACTCTTGCCTCCCATCTGCCCCAGAAGACGGGTAAAAATAAGTGACTTAAAATGTCTCAAACTGTTTTTTTACGAAAAGATGTTAAAACTTTTCATTTAAGCAGCGCTAAATATTGGGAAGATGAGAATAAACCGTTTGTCAGCTCATTTTTATGCAGTGGCTTTTACCAGTTTACTAGCCTTCATGAAGTCCTTTTTACACATTCGTGAAGGACAAAGATTTTATTATTCAACCATTTCATCACCTTTAAAAGTAAGAGGTTCATCCGACGCCAAGGCGGCTACTGTATGTAAGCGAGATGAGTTCAAACTCCACAGAAAATGTGTGCTTTAGAATTGACGCTTTCAAGCTGGCCACCATCCCCAGCATGGCCATCGGGTAAATAGAGGGTAACAGGATTGGCCAGTTAGCGGAAAACTCACCTCAAAGGCGTATATGTCAAACAAGTTGCTGAAGTAGTCACCATCCCGCACAAAGTGGTACTCCACATCCGGCATCACAGGAACACGGAGGTGGTTGGACATCAGCGGACCGAAGAAGTTGGCGTCGAGAGGAATTTTGCCTCCATTGTCAATTAATGACTGCTGAACCATCTTTACCGCCACAGCAACTGCGGAGGCGAATGATATCATTGTTTTCTATAAAGACAAAAAGAGACTATTTTGAGTTAAAGGTTCCATCATTAGAAGCCCTCCTTGCTGAGACGATTCCCTGCTTCCAAAAATGTTGAGAAAAATTGAAATGGTTTTGGTGAACCTGTTTTACGAATTTTGGAGTACCTGCAACCTAAAACAACTCAACAGTCTTACAATCATCAAAAGAAAACTTGGTCTGTCATGAGAATGATCCTCACTTTTGAGGCGCCAGGACAAGACAAGCTCGTGGCCGATGGCCGCCTTAAGGTGCTACTTAACAAAGTCTGTTTTAATAAATTCATTTTAACCATCCTAGAAATGCAAATGCAAGAATTCATCGAACTGAAACGAAAGCAATAGCATTTTAGATTTTACTAGGCCCAAAACCAGCCAAATCAAGTTGTCCTTTACTGTTCGAGTCTAGTTTTAGCCCTTCTTATTTGCTAACTTTCACTTTATTTTGTTCAAAACCTTTCATGCTCCTAATGCTTCCTCCTGATCTTCTTATGAGGTCAGTTGATGGGTTCATCATAAAATGCAAACTAAATCTGCCAAGATTTTGTTTTACAAATGTCCAAAGTGACAACATCAGACTTAATTGAAACTTTTGAGGAAGTTCTTCAGACCCACCCATCTCTAATGCAGCCGGAAGTCAGTTAGGTAGCTCTTGATAAGGCGGATGGCGATGAGCGCTGGGCAGAGGGCCAAACTTACAGTTTGAAATATCGGCGACTGGGCATCGTATCCCATTCCGAGGGGCAGAGCAGTGATGATGAAGAAGCTCTGACCAGCAGCACCCAACTGAGACCTGCGGGCCAGTTCGAAACGCCAGAAGCGGAGCACATCATAAGTAATTGCATTGGAAGGGTCCAAGTGCAGAATGGCCACACGACCTGCTTGAATTCGCGAAATGTTTTGGATCTGGTCGAGTAAAACGATGACAATTGGTGGTCTTGCAAGTATGATAACAGCTGGAGGAAGAAGAACCACAAAGTATTCCTTAGAGAAGTTCTCACTCATTGCAATCATTTTGCCTTTACACTGACGGTACCGCCTACCCAAGACGTACACGATCACAACCACTCAGTCAGTTTGTTTGCACCGATTAGAATGGTCTGGCTAAATGAAGAATTGTGCCTAATGCAGAGCCCAAACTCAAAGAGTCGACGTCCACTCCACACCTTCAAAAACAGTACAGACACGAAGCTCGCTCAAAAATGCATTGAACAATTGCAATGGGAGGCCAAATCACACTGGCGCTACAATTAACATGACCCAGGGCTTTCCTTTTTGGAAAAAAGGTTTTACACATAGCCAAGTACAAAACACATGGTGGAATAATTGTCAGACCTTAACGCACTATTAATTAATTTGTGCTGACATTTAAGGGAACACTAACTAGTAGGGCAGGGAAGTGCCCAACGCACCATCAATTTGGTCCGCCCACTCTGCCATCAACATGTTATAATTGGAGTCCACGTGGATGCCCTTCATAGCAACAATCTTGGCTGCAGCACCCACTCTTCCTTTTGCATCGAATGCCATGTCAATTCTATCTGCCATCCAGAACAGTGGCATCATGTCGGCACTAATCTCGTAGAGCAGTAGCACCCTTCGCCAACCCTGAAACCTCAACATGGACGCAAAAATGGCCGTAACAGACTGCACTTCCAGAGTCATTGTAATTGTTGCATATCGCGCCTCTTCCTCTACACCTGTGTAAAAATTCTCAACATGTTTCCTGGCCGGATCTGTTGCCGGACAGAGGTAGTTTATCTGGTATGGTCTCAGCAGCCAAGGAATTGTAGGTGAGGTTTGAGTCATCCAACCAGATATGAAGGTACAATCGCCAGCTAATGGGGGACCCACAAAAACTGTAAAACATTGACAGACGTCGGCCAACTCAATTAGGTCGGCCAACAATTTAAAAAGGTTGTAACCCCGATTGTCTTCGCGCACATTGCAGCCACCGATAAAGTGAGTGACGATTCGAACTTCAGCAGGGGAGAGGACGGTTGGTTGAAGAGAAGTCACATACTGAAGGGTGTCGTAAACGGACTCGTTGTAGCTAAAGATGCTGGAATAAGCGATACAGCTGTCAGAGCTTTTAAAATAGACTATTCGAAGTTTTGGGTCACGACCATCGGGGGTTACCGCGGCCGATGGAACAAGGAAA